GCTTCACATTTTAATGGCAGCATAAATTGAAACTGTTCATGTACACTGCACTGCATTGCTAGGCCATCAGGCGGATTTAATGGCTGCTCACACCTCACAACTTGCTTTCTGTAGTAAGGTGTTAAAACTCCTCACCTAGATATGTAGCCACCATTGCTGGAAATAACATTTGTCTGAGATAAAGGTGTGAAGGGAACATTTCTCACACAGCACAGGAATGTAGACTGTGGGCTTTCTCATGAGATGTTCAGGGGCCAGTAAACCTAAATAACAACATGGTTTGCATAATACAGCTCTTAATAAAATTCATAAATATGGGTATAAATGTTAAGATTGACAGATCTGGTTATTTGTAATCCTTGATGCTGAGACATGATATGTTCCTACACATTATTAATGTTTGTTAATCCTAATAAAACATATGGGTGGCCATACGCAGCTGGCTTCATTTTTACAACTAAGCATGCCTAAGGATTTTTGTAAGCTTTAACTGCTTTAACCTCCCTAGCGGTCTGATTATGTCCATATTTCTGTGCTCAAAGCAGTACATTTTTTACATGGAAATATGTATTTTTTTTATTGTAGGCCTGTAATTCTTAGGAATAACTCACTGAAATCTGTCCGAACAAGAGTCTAGTAAACATCCCGGGTATGTTAAAATTTGAAACACGAAATCATAAATTATAATTTAATAAATAATCATAAAAATAATAAATTTAATTCAATAATATAATCATACCAAAAACACTGAAATTTGAAATATAGCGCCAAGTTCGCACATCACTGAGCAAAGTCGCAAAATCGTTTTCAGTGTCTGATGATGATTTCCCCACGAATCATTATCACTCAATTCTGCAAGTGGTTCTGATTTACTATCATTGTTCTCTAGCTGGTCTAAAACCGATTTTGACCTAAAGGGAAGCTTTTTGGATGCCATGGAATTTTCTCAGCTTCCAGGCAGAAAGAACAGTAAAAATGCAGGCAGGGCACAGGACAAAGCACTGGGGACAAAATGTATGTGAAATGGTTTGATACAGTAATGTTTTACTATGTGATTTTAATGAATGTCACTTTTTGTCATTTTCAAATTTCCCGCCGTTCCGTCCCCGTATGTCCCGATGTTGCAGGGACAGAACCCAGACGACAGATGCCGGCATCTGCCGGAGGACATTACAGGGGACACTGCAGGGGGGACATCGCGGGAGCGCAGGACAAGGTAAGAGAAGAACAGATCCTGGAGCAGCGCCACATGGTAAGCCCGAGTGTAGCTCGGGGTTACAGCTTGTGGTACTGAAACTTTACCCCGAGCTACACTCGGGAATACCGCCAGGGAGGCTACTACAGCTTTTTGTTTGACTTGTATTTTCAGGTTTTACTATGGTCAAATACGTGAGGATTCCACCGACCAATGCACCCAGCATTCCACATGGATAGAGGATGTTCTACAGTGGGTGAGCCACCCTCGGCTTTCAAATGGGCCCCCGATAATAGTACATTTGTGATTAGCTTGTGCAACTACATATTTATGTGAGATTATTTAATGCTTCTGGTTGCAAATGTTATGGAAAGTTTTACTACAGGAGAAAGTATGACATTGGAGAATGTCCACACTGGAAATTTTCATTTCGGATGCATTAGTTCATTAAAGAATTTTGTTTCATGATATTCGTTGTGTTGAACCGATTTGTTTTTCGGAATTCATTTCATATCTTTGGCATTCATTTTGTATATTCGTTGATCCAGGTTGCAGTTTTTCCAGAAGATTGCTATATATTCAATATATTATTGAACCAGATGGAAGGATTCAATATTTTCAGATGCTAGTCCGATCCACCAAGAGAAATGGCCTGAGCTGATTAGACAATATTGACTGGCATCATATGTATCCGAATTACAAATGGAACAAAAATTGGATCCGAATTATCGAATTCGAATTTGAAAATTGAATTAATTTCCTCATGGGCCTGAACTACTATCGCATCATGTGACGGTATCCAAATGAAATGAAGGAAACAAATGCATTCGTTCATTTCGTTATAACTTTTTTCGGGTTTGTTGACATTCGTTACTATGTCTATTTAGAGATTCATATACATCCAAATCTCCAAAATGTTAATTGTCATCCGAAAAACAAATCGTAAGGAAACAAAACGCACATGTCTATTGACCACCTCAATATGTCCATCTGTCTGATATCAAGCATAAACATACATGGGGTCACTTGAGATCATCCCAGTTTAAAAGCACATTGGAATTCAGGTATATATATTCAATATATATATATATTCAATAAATTATTGAACCAGATGGAAGGATTTAATATTTTCAGATGGTAGTTCGATCCACCAAGAGAAATGAACTGAGCTGATTGGACAATATTGACTGGCATCATATGTATCCAAATTACAAATGGAACAAAAAAATTGGATCCAAATTATCGAATTCGAATTTGAAAATTGAATTATTTCCCCATGGGCCCAAACTGCTATCGCATCATGTGACGTCATCCGAATGAAATGAAGGAAACAAATGCATTTGTTAATTTCATTATAACTTTTTTTCGGATTTGTTGACATTCGTTACTATGTCCATTTAGAGATTCATATACATCCAAATCTCCAAAATTTTAATTTTCGTCCCAAAAACAAATCGTAAGGAAACAAACGCACATGTCTATTGACCACCTCAATATGTCCATCTGTCTGATTTCAGGCATAAACATAGATGGGGTCACTTGAGATCATCCCAATTTACAAGCACATTGGAATTGAGGTTTGGAGAGGTTCATGAATACATAGATGCCCTTGTAAAACACAAGTAGTTTAAGTTGACCTAAACTGTAGTTAGGTCTGTGTAATAGTACAGGCCGGTTTTAGGGTTGCAGAGAAGGGGTGGAGAAGACAGTACAATCTTTCATGTAGCCTGGTGAGGTACTCCAACTACATGTGTAGCCAGGAGGCCAAGGGCAGGACTGAAGTCAGAACCTCAGAAACATTGACAGGGCAATGGTGTAATAACAGGTAAATAACTGTGCAAAAACCCAGCATTGGGCTCAACTTTTGTAGGGTTTAGATGAGTCATGGTTTTGGTCTGATGTCCAACAGTTGGCTAGCATGTATGTCCATATAAAGTGCATGCCGGGCATATATGTACCCGTATAGAAGTGCCAGAGACGTGAGTCATTACAGTCTCCCCATGAATGGGTGGTTTTCCCTCTGCATGTGCTGATGTTCTCATATAGGTTTTTCAGTTTATAATTTGCCCTTGTGTGTGTGTTAGGAAACTAGACTGTGAGCTCCTTATGGGAAAAGGGACACGTGAATGGATTTATTAGTACTGTGTATTATGTTGATGCTATATAAACATGACATATAAATAAGTAACATGGCGGTCATGGAAATAAATTGATAGTTTTAATATAGGACGTATACTGCCTAAAGTGAAATTGCAACCCCTATATGTATATTAGAATGATGGCATATATTTACGATCGGTTTGAAATGTTTTGCTTTATATTACAAGTGACTTAGTGATTGGTGTGTCTGAGGCCTGTACTGCCATGATATAACCTGGAAAACTAAGAGGAGCATGTCAGCTGTTCACCAGACAGTTATTGGGCAAGCAAGGTCTCAGGTTCCAGAAACAGATTAGTGGTCCTATCAGAAGCTTGATAGAGAACGAAGAATTGAGATACTGAAATTAAAACAGATGTAAGCCTGTAGCTACTACTCTAAACAAATGTTATTATCTCTGTACTACTTAAAGATAACCTCCAGGTATAATTTGTATTGCATAATTACATTGTTCCAGCTTGGACTAGTGTAAGTATGCATATCTCTCAATGAATACAAGACATTTTCTGATTGGACAAGACAGGGTGGCAACATCAAGAAATCTACCTCATCCAATCAGAGAACACCTTACAGTCATTAAAACCAATACAAGGCATTATGTGAATGGTGGTAGTGCCAATCGAGCAACCCCCTGTGGTCAGTGTGCAGAAGGGAAGCTGTTCACACAGGGTTCCTCAAGAGGTTGCTAGGGGTTGATTGCCAACCCTTTTATGATGTCTGCATAGTTCCAGGGCCATAGTGAGGGGCATGACACTAGTGATCTTTAGTGGTGGCATTCTGACTACTAATGTTTTTCTGGCCACCAGGGGCATCTGGCCATTTCAGGGGCATCTTTCCGACTGACATTTTAGAAGGGATTCCCCAAGACCTAAATATTGTTTCAAGGGTCTCTGTAGAGTAAAAAGGTTGAGAAAGACTGATGTAGATCATGTAAAGTGACATCCCTTGAAGCTGTTTTAGGAAGAGCTAGGGAAATACATAAGAGTGGCTAAGTAGCCGAGTTCCATAAGAAAGTAGTTACAAATTAGTCGCCATTATCCAGTGATCAAATAAAAAAAATAAAATCCAGTTTGGAAATCACATACTGTTGTCAGCTACATAGAAAAAAAATTGACATATGAAACTGCTCAGGTCCTGAAGAGGCCACAGTGCTGGCTAATACATAAGTTTCAAGTGTGGATTCCATAAAACTACGCAGTGAATGTGTACACCAATCACCTGCATACTGTACTAAACAAAACAGTCTACTTTCTCTGCCTGTCCATGAAACCAGCTGAACACACAGAGACAGCTTACAGCACACTTCATTCTATTTTACACAGGCGCCTTTTATGTATAGAATGTTTTTCTGCAGATCTTCCATCTGTACACGTGTTGACATGTCTAGGTTTAATGGATCCAGAAGGCTGAGACTAATTTTTACAAATGAATAGACTTCTAGTGTTGGTTTTACATGCTCATCTCTTGTGGGTGTGTTTGGGTGGCAGGGTGAGTCTAGAAGTTACCAAGTATTTATGGCTTTGTGTGCGAATTTACAACACTTTCCAGACAGGTGTAGCCTGTGTCTGCTGAAAACAATACCCACCATATGAGCAGGATTGCAAGTCTCTGTGTTATATACCATCCCAGGGGCGGACTGACAAGTCATGGGGCCCCCGGGCAATAGGGGATCATGGGGCCCCTGTGTCTTTGCCCAAACTCAAAAAAGCCTATGAAAAAGGTACCAGGGGCATCTCATGGGGCCCCCTACTGACCCAAGACCCTTGGGCATTGCCCAAGTTCCCAAATGGTCAGTCTGCCCCTGCACCATCCATTCGAGAATGTTATTTATACATTGATAAATCATTATTTGTGGTGTACATTTACTAAACAAATACAGTTATTATTACCACAGCAAAGTCCAAACAGTGCAATACGTGAGAGGTTAAATTTTAAGACAGAAATAGCCAGATTTTTTTTTGCAAAAAAGCTGACAAGAAGCATTTTTATGACAAAAGAGACTCTGTATGTCTTTTCTGTCATAAAAGCTTTTTCCTGCCTGCTGGCATATTTTTTGAACGTGTACACTGAACCACGCATGCACAAATCAGGGTACAGTCGCAGCACTGCTCTGTGCTGGGATGAAGTTACTCTGTTGTGTTTTCCTGGGCAACGAAGATAAAATGGAGGACCAGGTGAAGATGAAAGCTCCAGCTATGGAGGGAAACGTGGGTATGGCAACGCGGGAAGGGATCACTTTGTTTAACAGATGTGCCGAAGGCATCAATTCACTAAAGATTACCACAAGCGATATGATGGTCACCCATTTTCAGAAATATTGCATGAGATGATAAGAGTCAGTTCATCAAAGTAAACTATCGAATGTGAGCTAAATACTGCTCATTTGTTAAAAATGTGAGGTAAATATCGCAAAAAAAAAGATAAGTCATTAACCGCTTACCCGCTGCTGTATAGCAGATATACTGCTACACGGCGGCACGGGTACGCAAAATCACTTTTATATACATGATTTTGCATTTCCAGGTATGGGGCGCGTGCGAGCCGCATGTGCATCCTACCCGTGCTGTCATTCGCGGCCATGGATGTCAATCACTGGGTCCCAGCCGGTGATTACCCGCTGGCTCCCGGTGATTACTGACAATCACAGACGGGGAGGAAGACTGTTTTGTTTACAAACAGTCTTCCTCCCTGTCAGCTCGGGCACACTGCTTGGGATGGCTGTGCACAGTACAGCCATCCCAATCAGTGTGCTTACAGTGAAGCACACCCCCCCGCCCCCTAGTAAAACACTCCCAGTACATAGTTAACCCTTTGATCGTCCCTCACATTAACCCCTTCCTGCCCAGTGTCATTAGTACAGTGTCAGTGCTGTTTTTTAGCACTGATCACTGTATTGGTGTCACTGGGGATGTCAGTGACACCAAATTAGTTCCCCCCCAGTGTCAGAATGCCCGTCGTAGTCCCACTGAAAGCCGCTGATCGCCGCCATTACTAGTAGAAAAAAAAATCCTAGTATCTATACCGCCATTTGTAAACGTTATAACTTTCACATAAACCAATTAATTTACATGTATTGGGATTTGTTTTAGGTAAGACATGTAGCAGAATACATTTTGGCCTAAATTTATGATGAAATTAGATTTTTAAAAATTTTTTACTGGACATGTTTAATAGCAAAAAGTCCAAAATATTGTTTTTTTTCTCAAAATTGTCGATTTTTTTTTTCTTACAGCGCAAAAAATTAAAAATGCACAGGTGATCAAATACCACCGAAAGAAAAGCTCAATTTGTGGAAAAAAAAGGATGTAAATTTAATCTGGGTGCGGCGTTGCATGACCGCGCAATTGTCAGTTAAAATAACTCAGCTCTGTAATGCAAATAATGGCCTGGTCAGGACGGACTCCTCTGGAGTCAATTCACTCAGAACACACACATTCGTTATTTATCACCTGCCAGTAGGCAGTCAGTACGTAGCAATGTACAAAATAACAATGAGGGGAACCCTGCACTGGCCAGGAAATTAAAAGTATACAATGTATCAATATGGAAATGTTGTCCTCTGACCTCAGGAATGAAAGTAAATCACCAGAGGGAGATCATTCTGTGAATGAAAGCACAGCAGAATGTTTTTTATAGTTTCATAATATTTCTGTGTACATTTATTTCTTCCTCTCTTGCAGTGTTAACATGCAAAAATGTGAAAAAAATGCCCAAAAACTAACGCTAAATTTAAGTGATAAATATCGCAAACCATAAAAAGTGAACGCATTTGGTAACTAATGCATGTTTTTAGTAAATTGACTACTTTTGAGATAAATACAGTTATTTTAACTCAAACATTCTTGCAGTATTTTTGAATTTTTGAATTGAATTGATCCTATAATGTGCAAATAGGCTTAACCCCCAAATTTCTCCTAAAGTGGTATTAAACCCTAAAGAAAACATTTATTATATTGCAGCCAGGGGCGGACTGACAACTCATAGGGCCCCCGGGCAATAGGGGATCATGGGGCCCCTGTGTCCTTGCCCAAACTCAAAAAAGCCTATGAAAAAGGTACCTGGGGCATCTCATGGGGCCCCTACTGACCCCGGGCCCTCAGGCAGTGCCCGAGTTTCCAAATGGCCAATCCGCCCCTGATTGCAGCTTACCAATTCTTGGATGTGATGGCTTCATTCATTTTCTTTTTTAGTCCTCATGCACTCTGGACATTTTGCGGCATTTTATTTTACCAATAAAAAAATTAAATTTTGGTCAAAAAACATCCAAAAATGCTGATTTGCACCGTTTTACTGTGTTTTGACGCGTTTTTCAGCCTTAGAGCATTTTTACAGCTAAAAACTCCTATAGAAACCCACTAGTCCTGGGTTTTTTTCCAGCCAAAACACGTCCCAGCTACAAAACATTGATTACAGTCTATGTGTATGGACACATAGGATAACATTCTGGGGGGTTTACTAGCTGTAAAAAAAAAAAGTCAAAAGCCAAAAACAGCAGCTGTAAAAACGTCAAGTGTGCATGAGGACTTGGGCTTTCTTTCTTCTATTTTCATTTGGTGATCCAGCTAGCAAGTCTGTTATTTTTCAGAAGCACAAGCCTTTCAGCAGAATGTATTGGTTTACTTATATGAAACAGACTATTTATCACTGGCAGGGATGACTAAAAGGATCAGCTTTTATTTATTCATGTAAAACCTTTATCTCAAAAGGAAAAAAAAAAGCTGTTTGTAACTGATTACAAAGTGTGAGCTGGAGTTTGGCTTTGATTTGTTATTATATTTAAATCTGCTGGCACATTTAACACTCCCCCCCTCCCCAGACTGACAATGCTGCCTTCTGCTATGCCTCCTGTGCTCATTCTTCCAGAGTTGTGTTGCACTAATACAGGAGGTGTGTTACTGGCCAGATCACCAGGTGAAAACAGAGGGGAAAAAGCCTAAGAAAAGAAAACTGATGCAGCCACTACATCTAATGATTGGTAAGATTTGTTATATTATATTTTTGGTTTTGGGTTTATTACTGCTTTAATTGGTCTGCTACAGTTGAAAGCATCTTGTTATATTATTATTATTATTACACAGGATTTATATAGCGCCAACAGTTTGCTCAGAGCTTTACAATATAACGGGAGACAATACAGCAACAATACAGTTCAATACAAGAGGGATAGGAGGGCCCTGCTCCTTGGAGCTTACATTCTAAGAGAAATTTGTTAATAATAATTAACCGCTAGCCTACAGGGCACTTATACCTTTATGCCCAGGCCAATTTCCAGCTTTCAGCGCTGTCACACTTTGAACGACAATTGCGCGGTCATGCAACACTGTACCCATATGAAAATGTTATCATGTTTTTGTGACAGATAGAGCTTTATTTTGGTGGTATTTAATCAACTCTGGGTTTTTTATTTTTTCTTAAACAAACCAAAAACCACTAAATAGTTTGAAAAAAAAAGTTTTTTCTTAGTTTTTGTTATAAAATTTTGTAAATAAGTGATTTTTCTCCTTCACTGATGTGCGCTAATGAGGCTGCACTGATAGGCTGCACTGATAGGCCGCACTGATGGACACTGATAGGTGGCACTGATGGGCACTGATGAGGAGGCACTGGTAGGTGGCACTGATGGGCATTGACAGGCATTACTGATGAGCACTGAAAGGCAGCACTGATATATGGCACTGATAGGCGGCACTGACTGGAACTGATAGGTGGCACTGACTGGCACTATTAGGCGACACTGACGGGCACTGATGCGCACTGATAGGTGGCACTGACTGGCGCTGATCACCACGCTGCACGCTTCGGGAGCTGCGCATGCGCGGTTAGAATGGGAGGACGTCATATGATGTCCTCCCAGAACGAGAGAACCACCTTGCATCCGTAATATTACTATATAGCGGGCGGGAGGTGGTTAATAACTGTAAAAATGTCTGTTGATCCTGCCAGAAATCTGGGCTGATAACTTTCTGCACTTTCTGTCTTTGCTGCATATCAGTTATATCAGCTATCTCTGTGGATTAAAGAGGGTTAGGCTTAGAGTAGTTGGACCTAGTTACTAAGTGTTACTAAACCCAGGACCCTGCATTCACTATATCTGGTCTCCCACAGTACACAGAACATGGAAATGCAATTATTTTAATAAATATAAACTGCTAAATACCTTTTCTCATCAGCAATATATAGCAGTCTTGTGACTTCTATCAGTGCCTGGTCAAATACTGGTTAATCTTGCATGAGGAGTTTTCATTCTGATTGTCCTATGAGGCTGCATAGCCCCTGACCCTATGTCTGAACAGTGCTGATTGACCCTGTGTCGATCACGTGCACCTTCCCAAAAAAAAACCCCATCACTTGCAATACACACCAAACTGAGCATGTGCAGACTTGCCACTGCTGCTCTGTACTATGGCAAATGGATTGGGGTCAGTAAAAGAAGGGGAAGACCAAAAAAGACAGGATCAAACAGCCTTTTTACACAATGCCGAGGATTAACCCCTTAGGTTCCACAGTGAATATAACAATCATGCTTTATATACAGACTGATATTACTGCTGTGGGTTTAGTAACATTTTAAGTAGTCTCAAAAGTTTTTCTCTTTAAAATCTTGTATCTTAAAATATGTGTGGATTTCTAAACAATTGTCACCGGAAACACCTTCAGATATTTTCTCCCTTACTGGAAATGCACTTTTCATCTCTTTGATTTCAATGCTCAGTGCTAGAATAGTTTAATAACTGCCACAAGAGGATTTATTAGATTACAGAAATCAATGGCCAGCATAGTCACACTCTGGTGC